CCGGTATTTCACAGTGTTTCAAGTGACTTCAGATAAAGTATACGTATTTCTCTAACATCGAATCCGGTGTGATTTCACGTGTATCTAATCTATCTATGTATCTAAACTATGCGTTTTAAGGCGCTAAAAATTTTTATTATCGGTTGCTAAAAAAATGTCTGATAAAATGCTAAAGTGTCATCGAACCGGAGTTGCGGTGAAAAATTATTCGCGACTATCGGTGAATCCTAGCACTAAATTGATATCGAATTCGGAATGTACGCCCCAAATTTGCCTTAAAAACAAGCTTCCATCTACTCGTATATCATAGACTTGCAACAGTTTTTGAAAAATTTTTATTAGCCGTTTTTCGGCAAAGTAGAATTCTTGCCATTATCTCAAATACGAGGCATTTTCGGACTGAATGGGCCCCGAATTCGGTGTCAGCGACCCAAAAAACGTATTATGAGGAATGTTGGGCTGAAGTTCGCGACTGACCCATTTTTTCCATGTTTAACTTAGAATTAAAATGATACAAATAACTTCTATCGTACGAATTTTGGGCCTGTAAATTGGAGCTCGATGTCATTTCACATGTGTTTGATCCCGTTTATCACGTAGATCTAATTATTCAGCGAAAGATTGCAAAACTATGCGTTTCTGCGGCTTTAAGGTGCTAAAAATCCATTCTTATTATCGCTGGCTACATGTGAGCGAACCTTTGTACAGGGTGGTCCATAAGTCCTTTGAAATTTCAAATTTGAATAAAATTTAACGGGTGAGCGTGAGCGGCGCGGGCGAGGTGGGGGCAGTATCTTCAGTGTCTGGGAATTCAGTCGCCATGGAGTGTTTCACTGGAGCGGATCGTGCTTTTTGTGTGCGCGCGTTTTATCAAAATAATGATTCGGCAACCATTGCGCGGCGTAAATATCGAGAATACCACAATTTACACAATTTTACAAAGTGTCCAACAGCTCAAACGATTAAGAACTGGGTTGCTAAGTTCGAAGAGACTGGTTCGACGTTAGATAAACAGCGGTGGGGTCGACCAAGGACAACTCGTATTGAAGAAAACATCAACATTGTGGCACAGTCTGTTCGTCAAAATCCTACCCAGTCTACTCGTAAGCGTTCCAGTGCACTAAACGTACCCAGAACATCTTTGCAGCTGATTTTAAGGAAAGATTTACGTCTGCACGCTTACAAAATTCAGTTAGTGCAGGAATTAAAAGATAATGACGCTATTCAGAGACTAAACTTTGCGAATGAAATGTTGAATCGATTTTCTTCGCTCAATAATGTGTTGTTCTCGGACGAGGCTCACTTCCATTTAAACGGGCATGTAAATAAACAAAATTGCCGTTATTGGAGCCCCGAAAATCCAAGGCGTAAGCATCAGAAGCCCTTACACAGCCCTAAAGTTACAGTTTGGGCTGCTATGTCAGCGCATGGCATCGTAGGCCCTTATTTTTTTAGGACGACAGAGGTCGCGCATCAACTGTTACTTCGGAGCGGTATGTAGCAATGATAGAAGAGTTTTTGACAACAGCGTTGCAGAATTTTCCAGGCTATAATACGCAGACCTGGTTTCAACAGGACGGAGCAACTGCCCACACCTCCAACACTTCTATGCCCGTCGTCTGTCAACTTTTTCCCAGCAAAGTAATTTCTCGAAGAGGAGACATTTCCTGGCCACCACGTAGTCCAGATTTGACCCCAATGGACCTCTTTTTATGGGGCTGCCTCAAGAGTAAAGTGTACGACACCACTCCGCGATCAGTTGATGTCCTGAAAGAAAATATCCGAAGAGAAATGGCAAGCATTACAGTGTTGACTTGCCGCGCAGTCATCGACAATTTTAGACGTCGTTTATATGAGTGCCGTGATCGTAATGGATTGCATTTAGACGATGTGATTTTTAAAACATAATTCCCATTCAATAAAGATGATAACAAAATATAATAATTCTTCATAATGTAACTAGTTTGGTTTTATTCCTTTTTTTCCAGCTCAAAGGACTTATGGGCCACCCTGTACAAAAAGGTAACTTGGGGCGCTGAATGTCATTTTCATCGTGAAAAAATTCAAGTGTCATCAGACCGAATTTGGAGGAAACATTAGTAAAAAACTGGTTACCCGATGCTACCCGTGAATCCTAGCACTAAATTGGCATCAAATTCGGAATCTATGCACCTATTTACCTAAAAGACAAGCTTCCAGCTAGATCATAGATTCGCAACAGTTTTTGGAGATTTTTTATTAGTTGTTTTTCGACATTCTTCTTGACAAGCATACTCTAGTCCTAGGTAGGGTGTATTCAATTGATTAAATACCTAATCATACAACGATTCTTAAATAAACTTTTAATCTGGAATGGTCCTTTAAACGGAAAACATTTAATGGATAATCGAAAAACGTTTCACATTTTCATCCAAGTAAATATAATTTCCTTGACCTATCAAGCGCTAATCCCTCAATTTACCTCTTTGGCTGGATAAAGTTGTGGAACAACCTTGTGAAGAAAATTGATAGTAATTTCCTTCTATAATATGCTTATAACACTTCAGTAAAGTAGCGAAGTTTAGAAATGTTCTGGATATTTTTTTATCCTGTCAAAAAATTTGTTGGAAAATAATACTCTGTTCACATTTGTTGGAGCACAATTTGGGAAAACTAATCCTTTCTCATGATGCCTTGAGATATTTCGCTTCAAAGACATGTCGAAAATGTCAGCGTTGGTATTCCTACGAGGCCTGTAAATTAAGTGATGAGACTGATTTTTTCAGCTAGTCGTTTGAAAGAAAAAGGTCGCTAGGACTCAAGTCAAGGAGGCTGAGGAGCCACAGGAAGTTTTTACTGGTCATAAACTCGTTTATTGGCATTGCTGTGCTATTTTCATCGGCTCTTGAACCGAAAAGAATGGGCTCTTGACAAAGCACTTTCTCTGTAGGCCTGTTTAGCAAGAGTTTTCGTTGCAGTGTACGCAACTCTGAAGAAAAACCTGATAGCACACCTTTGCTTGAAATTGAAGTGACTCATTTTTAAAACACAATAGAAAAAACTGTTTAAAAAAATCGCTACCGACAACCAAATGACTCTCGAGAATCTATAATATACTTATAACACTTCAATAAAGTAGCGAAGTTTAGAAATGTTCTGGATATTTTTTTATCCTGTCATCAAATTTGTTGGAAAATAATACTCTGTTCACATTTGTTGGTGCACAATTTGGGAAATTTAATCCTTTCTCATGATGCCTTGAGATATTTCGCTTCAAAGACATGTCGAAAATGTCAGCGTTGGTATTCCTACGAGGTCTGTAAATTAAGTGATGAGACTGATTTTTTCAGCTAGTCGTTTGAAAGAAAAAGGTCACTAGAACTCAAGTCAGGCGAATAAGGAGGCTGAGGAGCCACAGGAATGTTTTTACTGGCCATAAACTCGTTTATTGACATTGCTGTGCTATTTTCATCGGCTCTTGAACCGAAAAAAATGGGCTCTTGACAAAGCACTTTCTCTGTACGCCTGTTTAGCAAGAGTTTTCGTTGCAGTGTACCCAACTCTGAAGAAAAACCTGATGGCACACCGTTGCTTGAAATTGAAGTGACTCATTTTTAAAACACAATAGAAAAAACTGTTTAAAAAAAATCGCTACCGATAACCAAATGGCTCTCGAGAATCAAGGCACATGTTTCCCTGTTTCCCCTCAGAGCCCGGCGTCACAAGTGTTGCCAGATTGAATGCTACGTTGCAAGTTTCATCACTTAATTTAGACGTTTACATTAACTTCTAGCACAATTCTCTATGTAGAGCAATTCCATCAAAATAACGTAGATTTTGTCAGAACCTTTAGTGCACTTTTTGATCTTTCCATAAAAAATTCATCTGAATGTAGCTGTGATCGTGACCACATACGGTAATCTCATTTCTTTGGAGCTCTAGTGTAAAACACTGTTTGATAACTGATTAAAAGATGTGTATTCGGATAAGAAAATGCCTCAGAAAGTTTCGGAATTCAAAATACGTTCGGAGAAAACCCAAATTTTCCCAAATCCTGGCTTTATTTGTAGAGTGATTTCAAAATAAATTGCTCATTGGCATTGCCAATTTTTCGCCTTTACAAGATGGCTTGATTTTTGGATTTTTGCACAGATGAATAGAGTTTTTGGTTCTGATTCCAAAAATCCATAATATGACATATATTGACATTGCCAAGTTATTTTAGAAGAAAACAGAATTTCCTATGTAGGCCTTGACATTATCAGATAGTCATGATTTGTTTCGTATACCAAATCTATCGCAAAATAATTATTAATCTTTCCTGACTTTACTTGAGATGGAATGGCAAAGTATATGTACATTTATATGTTCAAAATTCTGATATAGCGTCCGTGTGAAAAAACAAAGTTGGCGACTACGCCATCATAGTATTGTTATTATCACTTTTTCTCCTCTACAAGATGGCGTAGACAAATTTCTTCTTTCTACTTCCATCACCAACTTTGTTTTTTCATATGGAAGCTATATCGGAATTTTGTACATTTAAATGGAGGTTTCAGTTCTGAATTCAGTGATATATTTTTTTAACTGGCCATGAACTTGTTATTGGGACGAAAATTATAAGGTACGACGGCACCTAAGCACGAAATAAAAATTTTATTGATGGTAATAAACAAAAAACAAAAATAATCATAAATAAGCAAATATAGCCATTACTCTTCTCTGTACATTGTTCACTGCTCGGTTTATTTCTCTTCTTCTCAGTCTTCCAAACTCTGTTACCAGGTCCAATTTGAGTTCTGGTCTGGTATCAGGGCTGTAGCTACAATAGGGTGGATCAGGGCGCCGCCCTGACAGACAAATATTTTGCACTGACAGAAAATTTAGGGAATTATCCTACAAGTCGGCAACATTGCAACGGGGCCGACGCCGGCGACTCGAGCCTCAATTGCACGGCGCGAATCGAGAATAAGCCGGTTCCGGTGATTCCCCGAAACCCAAACTGTGGGGAATAACTAGCGTACTGATTCATTGCATTGTGTATAGTCTGATTGCATGTAGATCAGGCGTTTTTATTGGCGGTAATCTTCTTGCAATGAATATAAGACATTTTTTTACTAAAAAACGGCCATTAGACGATGAAGGGTAGTCCTACTGGTAACAATCCTAGCTGCTTTGCTGAGGCAAAAAGCTTGCCAACCCTTTCAAAGGCACAGGACGTGAATATCCAAGTAACTGATCTTGATCTACCGAAAATAGGTGAGCCCGAGTATTCTGTACAAAAAGATGCAGCTTTTTGTTATGCTTGTCGACAATTTCAGCCGTTTAGTAATAAAGATATTATATATACTCATGTGGGATTCACAAATTGGAAAAATGCAATGGATTCTAAAAATGGATTCCCGGGACATGAAAAAACGGAATTTCATTTGAAAGCAATGGTTATGTGGAAGGAACGATCCTCTCAGGACTCCAGTGGCACTGCAGTCTCAACACTTATCAATAGTGAGTTGAACAATAGGTACTTACTATGTAAAATCAATAGCTGAGGTAATCCAGTTCTTAGCAGTCAACGAACTTGCGCTGCGAGGAAGCTATGTTATGGAAGAAGAAAAAGAACGAGGTTTATTCATAAGTCTTTTTAATTATACCCTTAAAAAGGACAAAGTATTGAAGAGGCTATAAAACACATTCCTAAAAATGTCAAGTATACTTCTCCTGAGATACAAAAAGAAATTATTGGCATATTAGGAGATTTAGTACGTCAAAGCCTAGTGGACGATATTAAAAAGTCTGATGTTCCATGGTTCACATTGTTAGAAGATGGAACCAGAGATAAAAATAACAGGGAGAATGTGTCCATACGTAAAAGATGGGATCGTTCATGAATACTTACTAGGTATTTACGTGAGTGACAAAATGGATGCCAAGACGTTTACAGATATGACGATTCAAATTTTGGACAAATATGAAATTGAGCGTTCACGTTTATTGAGTCAGTGCTATGAGTCATGAGTGGTAAAAAAGGTGGAGTTTCTGCCCTCATGCAAAAAGAGATTCAAAGAAGTATCCCTTACATTCATTGCTATAACCACAGGCTCCATTTAGTTGTAGTCAAAATTGTTTCTGAAATTAGCATGATAAATGTTTTTTTTGACCAGTGTATAATGTTACACGAATTTTTCCAGCATTGCAAAGTTTCAGCTATTTATAAAGGAAAGACTATTGTTCGCCTTCTCGAACAAAGATGGTCCGGTCATTTGGCCATTATTAATGTAATATTAGCTGACTATGCAGAAATTATTAGAACATTAGGCGAAATAATCCAAAGCAAATTGTTCGCTCGAAAAGACATGGCCAAGGGTATTGGAATAAAGTCAGTCATGTTAAAGATAGATTTCAGATTCACTTTAATATTAATGAAAGAAATTCTGGGATTATTAGAACCGGCAGATGCCGCATTGCAAGGACAATCGACTAGTCTCAAAGATGCTATCGAAATAATAACATTTTAAATGAATCACAAAATCTGGTACCTTATGCTGACGTAAAAAGTAACGGTGAGAAACGAAAAGGGCAGAGTACTCATAGCTTAAATGCTTTTTTTGTGATGGAATCCCTACCTAATAGCCAGGAAGAGACCGAAGACTGTAGTTTGCAATATAAAAGTTTATATTTTAAGGCCATAGATCTAACGCTTCTTCAGTTGGAAGAAAGGTTTTCGGATAATGACGACCTATTGATGGCCATTAGTAGCATTGAAGAATTTGATTTGATAAAACTTCAACCTCTAAAAAAACTTGGTAAGAGATCATTTAAAATCACCTAAAATTATATAGTGGATACCAAATAAAATCCGATGCACGTCATAGGTGATGGCATTCATAAAAATCATGGTTACCAACAGTTGACTACATTCAATGTGACATTTCTACTTGAAGTTTAAATTTCCCCGTCTCGATTCGGTTGGTAGTGCCGTGCAGAGAAATGTGAGGTTGCCACTTCTCGTTTGTTGACATCAGTTGCCATTGTCCTTTTGTCGTACTATTAGTTCTTTATTGTTTAGTTTGTGAGTTTTGCGCTATTTGAGCTTTGAATCGTTGCCTTGCCAATTAAAAATTGTTCTTTTCAGAACAACAGTTACTGTGAAGTGGTGTAAAGTATCCAAAATGCCAAAACAACTTAACAGTCGGTGTAAAGAGCTCATATCATTGAATATCTACCAAAATCAGGTGTTTTTATTCAGAAAGGAATTTAATTTTACAACAAGTTTATTTATTTTTAATATAGTGGTATTATAGTAAATGGTAGGTATATATAAACAATTTATTTGCTTAAAAGAAAATGTGCAAATTCTGGCAACAGCGCACAGCTCCAGATCGATGACGTGCATCGGGTTTTATTTGGTATCCAGTATATAACTATAACTATTATTATTGTTATAGGTATCGAGCTACCATCTATTGAACAGTTGTCGGTTGTTGAAGATGTCGTCGCCAGGGGACAAAAAGAAAGTATATTCTCTAAACTTTACAAACATAGGGAAGCTTTAAGGGCAACGTATCAGCTCTTTGCAACAGTTGCTACTTTCGGTTGGAGCACGACACTTTGTGAATCCTCTTTTTCTTCGTTGACAGCAATCAATCGACCTCAAAGGTATTCAATGCAGCATCAACGAATGGCTGACCTTTCCTATTTAGCATTTGAACGAAGAAGAGCCGCTGTACTAGACCTACATTTGTTTCTTCGAAAATTTCATAGTTGTGCTAATAGAAAGCTCCCCCTATTTTAAACATTCAAATCAGGGTATATTTAAGAGATTGTATTTAGCTGTTATATTTTTAGTAGACAGGATAAATATACGCTGTTTTTTCCAGAAATACAAATACTTGATAGGTACTTGATGTATAATAATTCGAGTTCCAAATAAAATGTCGCCCTGACAATAATTAGTAATGCCCTGGTACCAACGCAGGTCTGGCTACGGCCCTGTCTGGTATACGAAACAAACGACTATAGTGGATACCAAATAAAACCCGATGCACGTCATCGATCTGGAGCTGTGCGCTGTTGCCAGAATTGATATGAGCTCTTTACACCGACTGTTAAGTTGTTTTGGCATTTTGGATACTTTATACCACTTCACAGTAACTTTTGTTCTGAAAAGAACAACTTTTAATTGGCAAGGCAACGATTAAAAGCTCAAATAGCGCAAAACTCACAAACTAAACAATAAAGAACTAATAGTACGACAAAAGGACAATGGCAACTGATGTCAACAAATGAGAAGTGGCAACCTCACATTTCTCTGCACGGCACTACCAACCGAATCGAGACGGGGAAATTTAAACTTCAAGTAGAAATGTCACATTGAATGTAGTCAACTGTTGGTAACCATGATTTTTATGAATGACATCACCTATGACGTGCATCGGATTTTATTTGGTATCCACTATATATGGTTATTTCAATGCCCATCTATTAAATTGTTTGTTTCTTTAATAACTAAGGTTTGGCAATGTCAATGTATCACACATACATTTTTAGAATAAGAATCGAATACTCCATTCACCTGGGCAAAAATCAAACGTAGCGTCCAGCGGCGGAGCAAGTGGGAGGGGGTGGGCGGGGGGTGCGCACCGGTTGTCACCTTTTTAGGGGTGACACCCACCCGGTGACTTCGTCGTAAATAACGGGTGATTGGTGAGATGGCCAGTGATGCAGGAATCACACTGAAGGAAGAACTTCAAAAAGATATGATGGAATGTCTTAACCGCCTCAGAGTTGAACTCCAGACAAGATCGGAGTCTCTTCAAGACCTAGCTTCATTGTTCGAGATCGTACAAAGAAATACTTTGCTTTTGGCGAATACTGAAGAGCTCAAGTTAGCTACATTCAAATTTACTGATTTTTATGATGAGGTCTAAGAAACAGAATTACTTGTGGAGATACCAAGACTGCGAAGACACCTAAAAGCCGCTAATGTTACAGTTTATGATTGGATATCTCTAGATTTTTTAAATTTTATTGTAGAAAGGTATTTCACAGAATCTCTTCCAAATCATTTGAATGCACTAAAATTGTTCACGATGGTTTGCGTGTCCGTAGCTTCATGTGAAAGGAGTTTCATTAAAAAACTATTTGCGGGCAACAATGGCCCAATCGCGACATATTAGCCATCGAACACGAGGCAGTACAAAATCTAAATTTTGATCAAGTTATTTCTGAGTTTGCAGTTGTCAAAGCTAGAAAGAAATTATAATTGTAAGATAAAAATAATTTTTTTGTCTTAGTTTTTATTGTGTTTTATTTGTTCAATGTTTTAAATATAAATATTAAATGATCCATGACGTTTATAAGTCATATAAAATTTATTGCTTTTGACTTTCGATGAGGTGAGTGACACCATCAACTTCCGCCACTGATGGCGTCTAGAAAAAATAGAGTTGATGCTGGGGGACAAGAGACGAAAATTCATATTGGAATTTTAATTACGAAATTCCAGTACAAATGAAGTCAGGAAAATTAAGACAATTTTGGGAAAATTCGGTACTTCGAATTTCAAAACTTTCTTAGCGGCATTTTGTTTAGTTATCTATATATTATGCAACGTGCTACCTGCTTTTATGGGCGATGCAATATTTAGAACCATCGGGAGCACGCGGCACTTCTTTAACCCTAAAAATTTTTCCAAAATAGTCAGGATCTTCCAAATCGTCACAAACGACGTTTTAGTAGTTTTTATTATTATTATTTTTATTTTTGGCATTTTTCTCCGTTGCCACTCAAAAACTGCAAAGCTTTTCTGCCCATAGTAGTGACCTTGTGTAACAATTTCATCCAAATGAAATGACTGGATGGTTTCCAAAAATCTTGAAGAAAACAAAAGGTTTTGAAATAATAAGGTAATGCATATACTTCAACAGTCTTTAATTTAATGCTAATATTTTTGTATGAAACAGTAGAAAAGATACATCTAAAACCTTAAAAAAGTATGTAAATGTTACGAAACATAATTTAAACATGGAACTCAAACATTTAACATTCACAAATTTATATTAATGTTACAGTAGCAAACTTACAGATAATTATATTTGGTATAATCAAAAAGTATCTTTGGTGAACTGAATAACAGCATAGTATAATTTTGGTATAAAAGGCAATTTCAAATCTGCTGTAAGTAAAATACATAAATTAAATAAGAGAAATACTAAAGTTTCTTATAACTAGTTCATGAAACAATATAAAAAAAAATATTTCGTAAATTTTATTATACTAGTAGCAGTTCATAGAAGCATTGAAATTTTCACAAAATTTGATTGTGATGAATTCTATGAACCAATAAGATCAAAATTAGATTTTTGTTATGGTGCATATTGTCTTGATTTTATCACCTTTTTGGTTTTTCGCAACGCGGAAAATATAGCTAATTGGAAAAAGTAAGTATTTAGGAAAATATGCCTGACAAAATCAAAGTGGTAGCATATTGACCTTGTGAGCAGCAGACTTCTTGGTTTCTTGCCATTATGATCGAAAAAACAATAAATTTAAAACACTAGCAGTCGAAGATATCTTCAGCAGCTCCTTCTTCTACAGCTTCATAATCATCATCTGCAGTTGCTTCTTGGTACTGCTGATATTCTGACACAAGATCGTTCATGTTGGATTCTGCTTCTGTGAACTCCATCTCGTCCATGCCTTCACCAGTATACCTGTAGTAGAAGAATAGAATAATGCTTAAGCTCAAGTTTGAGGCTTAGTTTACTTCGTACGCGACTGGGCGCGGCAACCGCGAAAAATTTCAAAAGAGAGATATGTTTTTAATGTAATATGACAAGTACATCACGAAAAACCTTGTTAATCGTGTCTTTCGGTCTGCCCGCTATAACTTGGGCAGTTCGGGTTCAAGCTAGTGAATAATTCAGAAAATTTCAACAACAAAAATGGAAGCTAGTGAATGTGCATTTGAATCAAAAAATCAAATCTATCATCGTCACTTGAGATGGATAACAAAAGGATCACCGACAGTGAAATAATTGCGACTGCATTTATTCACTTTTTCACCACTTTCGTTGAAAAGCTTTTATCAGGAGAAGCAACCAACATAGTGGTCATAATGTCGCCATTTTTAGGGCACTACTGACGTACGCCGACCAACAAAAATGACGTCATTATAACGGTCTTTGACGTACAGTCGGTTGCAAAAATAATTGCGCAGTGTATCGAAATGTTCCTGAAAAATTGAGGATGTGACAACGACGCCCCACAAGCAGTGAGTTCAGGGGTGGTAGAAAGACGCAGAAACCTTTATTCTGCTTACCTACCACTCTAAAACGCTCTCGTTCCGAGACGTTTTATCACCTCCGCAATTTTTCGGGACCATTTGTACAAAGAATATCGTGTGATAAACAGCTAAAAATTTTATGACCAGCAAGGTGTGTTTTACTTTCCAACTTCGACGTTTCCGAAAGAAAGCCTGCTTTGGAGGCCCCATTCTTATACCCGAAGATCAAAACTGATGGCATTTATTTAACCAGATATTTGACAATGTCAGAATACGATACGATGGAAACAATGTAACTATGTGGAAAATAGGGTAAAGGTGGCTGATATGTAGAATTTGACAATTTCATAAGCCAACTCGAAAATTACTTATTTGAATATAATTATATATATATATATATATAACAACACTCTTGTAAAGCCTGAGGGTTTAAAATATGTTGCAAACGATACAATTTATCGAACTACCACGCGGTGTGTAAATTGTACCTTACAAAAAAAACTCGATTTTCAATGTTACTCATTGTTAGATCATAAAAGAAGGAACTTAGATGAGTCAAAACATTACCCTAACGAATTAACTTCCGTATAAACCAAAAACTTTCATTTATAGAACATTAGAATCACTGATCTGAAGCACATTGGTGAAACAGTAGCATTATCAAGTATTATTATAATATGGAGTTTTGGCAATCACAAATACTGCATAGGTACGTAAACGTTAAAATAACGTCATTTGACATTTACATCTTGTGATAAAATGTCGGCACTTCCATGTTAGTTTTTCTGAACTATTTAAGCTGCCGATCGTCAGACAGTATAGAAATTTTCCATTTCCGCTACTGTTCGACCGTCTGAATATTTTATAGTTCTTACTAGCTTTAGATCATACACATTTTTTTTAAAATAGATGGGTAAATTCATTTTGGAAATCTGGCAACTGTGGTTTTTCTACAGCATAGATGAGTCACTGCCATCACTTTTAACCATCGTTGCCAGACGTACGATAATTATCGTTTCTGTACGATAATTTCAAGTACTGTACGATGTGCGATACTACGTGTAGGATAATAGCTGAATGTACGATAATTTTGCGAATGAGCTTTTTTACTCACAGATGTTGAATCAATCTAACAACTACGTTCAATTAACACCAGCAAGCAGCTGTCAGTGTTGCCGCCTAAGGCACGGTGTAGGATAATGTACGATAATTTTGACGTGTTTGTACGATAATTCCCAGCGACGCTTATTGATAGAGATGTATCAGCAAAAACTGATTACGAATTAAGTAGCACCAGAAATGCTAAAAATCGCCAGATTTCGCCAATTTGCTGAGTACTGATCGCCACTAAAGTAGCCAATCGCCAAGCTACCCTTTTTAGTCGCCATTTCAATCCACCAAGTCACCACTTCGGCGAAAAATCACCACGCCTGGCAACCCCGCTTCCGATATGAAAGAATTCTAATTCCAGCCGTCATAGGCGCACGCAGGAATTTTTCTCAACGGGTCCGATCATCGATGAGATAACTTTTTGTGACGGTGTGCCTGCCCAAAAAACTTTTAAGAGCTGGGGGAAGCAAAATTTCTCCTAAAAATCCGCAAAATTGTACACAAAATCATGCGAAATATCCAACTTTTAAGATCCATCTAGTAATAATAAAATATTGCCCTACTAATCAACATACCAATGCAAGAACGCTTTCCTTCTGAACATAGCCCCAAACTGATCTGATATGCGCTTGAACAGCTCTTGAATGGCGGTGGTGTTTCCAATAAAGGTAGCAGACATCTTGAGGCCAACTGGTGGGATGTCACAAACGGCTGTTTTCACGTTGTTCGGGATCCACTCTACGAAGTAGCCGCTGTTCTTGTTCTGGACAGCCAGCATCTGCTCGTCTACTTCCTTCATCGACATTCGTCCTCTGAATATGGCGGCAACTGTCAGATACCTGGAAGGATTTTGTTCATTTATGCTTTTAAAAAAATATATTCAGAAATGGAAGAAGCGTATATTAAAATCTAGAATCTTAAATTCATGTAGTAAAATGTTGCTTCTTGTCGTTGCATGTCGTGAACCAGAGTCCCAAAACACGACTGGGCCACCAGGGCAGTGTCATCAGCAAATAAATAGATTTCACCGTTGCTGGGGCAAGGGACGTCATAAAAAATGAAAAAAGGATTGGTCCAAGTACCGAACCCTGAGGGAGACCGGCTTTGATGGGCCGTGTTGTCGACAGAACATTATTAATTTTGATCTGAAATTTCCTACCCTCAAGAAAGGATTTCAAAAGAAGCCTGAAGGGGAAGCCCTTTCGGATCAATTTGTAGAGAAGGTCCTTGTGCCACACCTTTGAGGTATCCAAAAGCAAGATGCAAGTACTTTCATTACGAGTATATCTCCTGGTTACTTGCTCAACAAGCCTAACCGCTTGCAACTATGCTGGGACCAAACACCAATTTGCAAGTGACATAGAATTACCTTTTCAGCGAGCTTAGAAACAGCAGAAACTAATGGGACGATAATACTGAGGAATATCGAACCCACCTTCTTTGGGATCATTATAGCATTAGCGATCTTCTACGCTGCTGGGAAGTACTGGGTCCTTAGCATGGGGCATTGCTTCAGCGCCTTATTAGTCATTCGATCCTCTGCAGGTGCTTTACGCACCTTGAGGTCTAATCACTAAGGGACGCGCTATATCACTGACGCCATTTCCCCTAAAATATCTCCTGATGGATCTCGTCGTCGAGGTCATAGTTGAGAGAAAACGATCGATCCATAACGTCAGCGATAACCTCGACCTCTTCCTCTATCCTAAAGACTATGCTGCCAGGACCGTGGATGTGCGGAAGTTGTTCCATTCCATTTCTGAACGTCTTTGCAACTGTACATACACGAATAATTGAGTCAAACATCCCCACCACAAAGTCGCTCCATTGCTCATTACGGAATGCATGAAGAGCATTTCTCACTTCATGAACAAGATTCCTCGCTCTGCGAATGTCATCAGGAAGAAGAAAACGCTGTAAGTCACATGAGCGCCCTGAACATAACTTAACATGATTATAAACCATCAAGACTAGAGATAGCTGTGTAAACTCAAGGAGTGGGGGTGAAGCCAAAAATGCACAAGTGAGTTGGTATACTTTATCTGAAGTCACTTGAAACACTGTGAAATACCGGGTGCGTTTTATATATCTATATTTAACACGCTCTGTTGCTGCAAAAATCGCCAAATTTCGCAGCAAATATCCCCCGTATAAGATCAAAGGCAGTTTCACCGGTCCACGTGGAGTAAAGCACGCCTATGCGTGGACATAGCCAATGAGAAAGCGTGTATTTCAGAGCTCCGAACAAGTGCAGGTGGCTACTGAAAATTGAAACAGTTTAGCCAGTGCCGTGTAGCGGTGAATAAACGTGTTTTCTTTAGTCTGTCCGTGTTTTTTTATAGATTTTATTAGTTTGTGTGTTTTTGACTTTTGAATACTCAGTTTACTTGTTGATTTAATTGTTGTGTTGATTGTTCTTGTGTGTCCTAAATATGGCTCTTTGGAGACCTTGGGAAAATGCTCCAAGCCACGAGGAGATAGTTGATGAACCTGTGCAGGCAGAATTCTTTCATAAAGATTTAGAGGAACAGACCCAAAGAGTAATCCTAAATATGTATGATTGTCTGAAAAACGAAAATCCAGATTCCTCGCAAAATCAAATTTTAAACAGAATTTGTATCCTGACAAAAATCAGTCGGTCTACCATTTATCGGGTTATAAAAAGGGGAGATGTAGTCAACCATTCCTTCCACAGAAAGCGCATAGGGCAAAAATTAAAAAGAATAGACGTGGGTTTTCAGGAAGATATTCGTCGTATAATATAAAGATTTTATAAAGAAAATTTGGTGCCCACGTTGGAAATGATACGGGATAAATTAAAAGATTATCCTGGAGATTTTTATAATTACAAATGCTCAGACTCACTGCACTGTATTGTAAAACTGTGTGGTTTTCAATACAAAAAATTAGATAAAAGAATGGTGATTATGGAGTCGTCTCGAATCGTTGAATTGCGCCAAGAATTTTTGCACAAAGTTAAAATCTATAGAGAGCAGAAAAGAAATTTGATTTACCTGGATGAAACGTGGTATGATACCCATGATGTTGTGCAGTACGGCTGGGTTGACGACAGCAACAAGTGCATTTTAAATGCACCATGCAACCGTGGAAAACGAATCATTATTCTCCATGCTGGCAGTGAAAATGGATTTATACCTAATGCCTTGCTGTTATCTGCCAAAAATATCAAAGAATCATGTGCCGACTATCATGAGGACATGACCTCCGACTTATTTGAAAAGTGGATAGAGCAGCAGTTAATACCAAACATTTCTCCACATTCAGTGATTATTATGGACAATGCGCCATACCATTCCCGACAGAAAAACAAAATTCCGAATACAGGCACAAAAAAACAAGACATTATTGATTTTATGAAGGATAAGGGAATGGAAATACCACAAAAATCAACCAAAGCCATATTATTGGATCTTATTAAAAGACAAAAATTTGAAAAAGAGTATGTTGTTGACAATCTGCTTCAGCAAAATGGCCATGAAGTATTACGTCTACCTCCCTATTACTGCATTTTTAACCCGATTGAGTTGGTCTGGGCTGCTTTAAAAAAAAAGTACGAAAACATAATCAGACCCCTCAATTAAGTGAATCGCTATTGACCACAATAAGAGATGCAGTATCTCATATTGCTGCCACAGACCTATGGAAGCAGTGTTCTAGGCATATTATTGAAAAAGAAAATGAATATTGTGTTTTGCCTCCTGTAAATCCCGTTGTAATTCCTCTACAAGATGACTCTAGCGACAGCTCCGAAGGCGAGGATGATATATAAATACCTATAATGTAAGTCTTTATATACCTTTTTATATACCTACCTGCTATGTAAATATTTGCCTATGTCAAACGTTGGAATTCTGTAATTTTTCCATTTCTTAACTTTCAGTCAACATAAATTAAACTCCCAATATAAGTATTTTTTATCCCAAATCAAAAAAATAAGAAGATAGTAAAATCCATTTATTGTGATATAAAAACATTATTATTATCGTTCTAAATAAATGACCGCACGCCTATGATACGTCATGAAATTACAAAGGACGCGCCGACCAAAGGTTTTTATGCTATTTCAAGTGACTTCAGATAAAGTATACACTGCACCGCAAATGAATTTCAGGTTCTGCGCATCTCTCTCTCTGTTGTTGTCATCATGACTAAACAACTGCAATTTTGACAATTCGTACGAGCTGCATGTAGAAATATTGGATAGTACATATTTAAGCCACGAAGTAATAAACATACAAAGCATGGCAAAACGTTAGTGAAATCAACATAAAGATTGCGACAGGTTATGCAGACATTTTTCAATGCGCAGAGAGCCACACCATCCTTGACGACTTGATTGGCTTCGTATGCAGTTTATCTCTTGCCTTCGCGGACAGAACTAAAATAATCAACTCCAATACCTTCCGTGTCTAGGATCGCACGCAGCCATCATATTCTTGGAGTCAAACATCTGCTGGGTCAATTCCGGTACTGTCAAGGCTCTGTACTGTTGGTTGCCTCGCGATGTAAGCGGTGCGAATCCGGGCATGAAGAAGTGGAGACGTGGGAATGGTACCATGTTGACAGCGAGTTTTCTGAGATCGGCGTTCAACTGACCAGGGAATCTGAGGCAGGTGGTGACGCCGGACATCGTGAGCGAAACCAAATGGTTCAGATCTCCGTAACTTGGGCTTGTTACTTTCAATGTTCTGAAGCAGATGTCGTACAGGGCTTCGTTGTCGATACAGTAAGTCTCGTCGGTGTTTTCTACAAGCTGGTGTACGGACAAGGTGGCGTTGTATGGTTCTACGACTGTGTCTGATACTTTGGGACTGGGCATGATCGAGTACGTGTTCATTATCCTGTCTGGAAACTCTTCTCTGATTTTGGAGATGAGGAGCGTGCCCATTCCGGATCCGGTACCGCCTCCGAGCGAGTGAGTTAACTGGAAGCCCTACAAACAGAAGAAGATACGAGGTCTGTAAATTAAGTAATGAGACTGGCAAGGTAGGGGAACATGTGATCCGCCTTCAGTACAAGTTCGAACTCGCGCGAGTAATTTTATTGTCGTTGGCGGTTTTTTTTTGTCAAACAGTTCCAGAACTGCTATGAGGAGAAGAAAAACCGTATCCGGCGCTGTGTGGATACAGAAGGAAGTTATTTCAATGGTGACAATATAAAATTATAGTTATATTTGAATAGAAAATTTTTAAAAAATCAGTCTCGACGCTTAATTTACAGAGTCATTGTCTGTCAAGGCGGTCCGTAGGACCTTTGCCTTTGTGCCAAAGTACGTCAGTCAGTTTGTTATACTGTCGACCTGGTCACCCAGAAACCAGACATGATTAATAGAAAGCAGAAAGGAAAAATAATGAAAAAAGAGGGAGAGCAAAGAGTAAGAAATACAACTGTTAGAAAGGCGTCTGAGCATTGTTTAGAATTACTGTAATATACTAAGTGACATATAAATCCGAACACCCAGTTTAAATGGTTTTATTTTAATAAAAGTTGGTGAATGTATTTATCTTACTGTAAATAACAAGTGAAAAAATGTTCAGCCTTATCAGTTGGACATTCCGGTTTTTATACTGTTTTTTTTTTCAATTCACTAACGCTCTAAAAATGAATATTTCAGCCGCAGTAAAGAATCAACGTTGGCGGATTTTGCTTCTTGACATCCTTTACGATTGGTTACGATGCCTAGAGTACGGAGACCTGTACGATTTCGTCAACTTAGTGAGTTTGATAGGGGCCGTATAGTGGGACTTCGGGAAGCTGGACTTTCTTTTCGGGCAATTGCAGTTAGAGTGCAAAGAAGTGTAGACACTGTGGTTAGGTGTTGTCAGGCATGGCTTCGAGAATGCCGTACGCAAAGAGCAGGGGGCACTGGACGCCGCCGTAGAACAACAGACCGTGAAGATCGCCACCTAAGATTATTGGCCTTAAGGGACCGTTTCTCCACTACCAGGTCCATTGCAAATTAATGGTTTGCAGAACACGGAAGACCTATTGGCATGCGAAGTGTTTACCGAAGAATGAGAAGTTTTGGCTTGTTTTCATACCGGCCACACTGGGTCCTCCCTTTAACTCGAGAACACCGACGTAATCGCCTTGAGTGGTGCAGACAACGGTCACTCTGGGATCAGGGTGGAACAGTATTGTCTTTAGTGACGAGTCTCGATTTTGTTTAGGCATGCATGATGGTCGTGCCAGGGTTAGAAGGCGACGTGGTGAAAGGAGGAATCCACAGTTTTTTGTTGAAAGACATGTTCATCACACTGTTGGAGTTATGGTTTGGGGTGCTATAGCTTATGGTTCCAGGTCACCTTTAATCTTCATCAGAGGTAACATGAACGCGCAGCGTTATATCCACGCAGTTCTAGAACCCCATCTTTTACCCTATCTTCACTCCCTGGCAGATCCAACTTGCCAACAAGATAATGCCCGACCACATGTTGCAAGAGTCACAACAGACTTCTTTCAACATAATGATGTCACATTGTTATCATGGCCACCAAGATCTCCCGACTTATCCCCAATTGAGCACGTGTGGGATATGATGGGTAGGAGATTGCTGAATTTGCAACGTCCTCCTCAGACTCTAGAAGCACTTCGAGAGGAGTTGGTGGTTGCCTGGAATGAGATACCACAGGATGACATTGACCACCTGATCAGAAGCATGCCTAGGCGCGTTGGACAATGCGTAGCACATCAGGGTGCATCCACACATTATTAAAGGTCAAAGGGCTTTAAAGCAGTGCAATCATTTTGAAATTTTTATCATTTACTTATTATGCTTCATTAAGTACTTATACAAAATTTTATTAAAATAAAACCATTTAAACTGGGTGTTCGGATTTATATGTCACTTAGTATAATTTTGGATGCCGAAAAAGAATTTGGTTGGATTTTTGTTGAAATATTATTTTTTTCTGTGACGGGAGAAAAGTTTGACATTTTATCTCTGTTGACAGGTAATAAAATGTCACTTTTTATAAAATAACTTTTTTCCTCGGGAAAAAAATAACTAATTTTTCCCGGATATTGTATAAACGATTTAGCTGGCAATAATTTTTGTCACGCTACTTTGGCTACTTCGGAATCAGACATTTTTTACTTTATAGTATTAAAAATAACTTCTAAACAACCACTAAGTTCACCATTTTTAAATCAAATTACAAAATTAAATTGACAGCTGTTTGATTACTTTAAAAGTTTCCTTAGATCTCATTGTCACTATAAGTACAACATAATACTAATTTCAAAATTCATATTTCACATCGATAATTTTATGACTTAAATATTGTAATGATATAATTTTTCAATACTAAACCGTCGTTTTTCCCGTCACAGAAAAAAATTTGTATTATACATGGAAAAAATACTAGATACAGTGCGAGCCGCGGACTGGGATGTATGCAAACTTGCTTCACTGTGTATCTCAAACTCAGAAGTATCAGATATTGATCAGACTTGAAAATTCAAGTAGTCTAAATATTACTTGATAATATATAAGCTAGAGAGGAAACAATACATATACAGGGCTTGTCCGGAAAGTAATAGGACACATTTTCTTCCGCCATGACTGTACTTCGGAGCGTGCGCGTACCGACTGGATTCGGTAGAGGGCGTTCATAGCTAACGAATGAGCGGCTGGTCAGTAGACCTATTACTTTCCGGACAAACCCTGTATAAGTATAACACCACTAGTGATTATTTCCATTAAAATACAAAATACGGCTCATCGGTTGTATAATAATAATAATAATAATAATAATAATAATAATATTTATTTACTCTAAAATACAGGGAACATGAAACGAGTAAATAAATATAATATATCCATAGGAGGACAACGCCTGTGCATGGATCATATGTATGTTGAATTGCAAAATATAATAAAATAGAGAGGAAAAAAGAAATTATTGGTAAGAATGGTAGAGCATTTATTGTGTAATATTTGAGATTATTTTATTAATTTGATTTCTCCCAATCGTGTTAATAAATTTTTTTAATTTTTTTTTGAAGCCTAATGTATTGCGTAATTGTTTTAAATTATTTGGTAAATGTTCGTACAATTTTGGAGCTATATACAGGTGACATCGTTTCATTAGGGATTTGTTTGGTTTAGGAACATTTTTTGCGCGTAATTTATATCTGGTTTTATGATTATGTTTAATTATGTCGTGTTCACTAATAGTTTTGTGATAATGAGTGATGGTATGTAAGAAGTAAAGTTGTTTAGTATCATATACTTGTGCATCATTATATAAGTCATTAGTTGGGTATAATTTTGATTTGCCTAACATTCATTTTAAAATTCTTCTTTGAAGTACATCTAAATCGTTAAAGTATGTCGTGCATGCAGCACCCCACACTACTATACCATATGTTATGTGTGGCTCGACTAAAGCTTGATATATTATTCGTAGATAATATTCAGTTAATATACCGGTTAGAAATTTTATTTTATATGCTATGAATCTAATTTTCTTTAGTATGTGAGAAATATGTACATCCCATCTCAAGTGGGGATCTAGATAAATTCCTAAATATTTTGTATCATTAACTCTATTGATTTTTATATTTTTATCATTTACCTTAAACCGAAGGTGGTTATATTTTGGTAGATGATTAGATAGTGATGAAAATGGTAAAAAATGAGTTTTAGTAAAGTTAATTGTTAATTTTCGGTTATTAAACCACTGAATAATTTTGCAAAAGTCATTTTGGATAATATCTTTTAAGTCGTTCCAATCCTTACCTTTATAGAGTATAGCAGTATCGTCTGCAAAACTGACTATTTTACCAGTACTGTTAATTTTGAATATATCGTTTAAATAAATATTGAATAACAGAGGACCCAAAATTGTACCTTGTGGAACACCACATTTAACAAAAATTTCTTTACTATACGAGCTTAATAATTTTACTGATTGCGGTCTATTTGATAAATAATTTTCCATTAAAGTATACATCTTTCCACGAAAACCTATTCTTTCTAAGATTTCCAAAAGTATATTGTGGTTAACTGTCAACCGCTTTTTGTAAGTCCACAAATACGCATATCGATGGTACTTTTCCATATATATTTTGGGTTATTTCATCTACTATATTTAATACCCCATCTGTTGTAGATTTGCCCGCTATAAAACCATATTGATTTGAATTTAGAATTTTGAATTTATTAAGAAAATTAATCATTTTATTAAGGAGTAATTTCTCAAAAACTTTAGCTAAACTTGATATAAGTGAAATAGGTCGATAGTTAGTGACGTCCGTATTATCATTAGATTTATAGATAGGTATGACGATTGCTGTCTTGAAAGCTGATGGAAATACTCCAGATTGGAAGGATTTGTTAATGATATAAGCAAGTGGTTCTGTTATTTGTTTGGCCAGTATGTTCAGCTCTAATTTCGTCAACTCCAGGGCTTTTTTTATTTTTTAGAGTCATAATGGCATTGAAAACATCCTGATAGTCTACTTCAGTTAATACAAATGAATTATTCAGTCTTGTTTCATGCAGATGAATATCAGCATTTTGTTTGATATTATTTGCTAAGTTTCCTCCTATATTCGTGAAAAATTCTATGAACTCATCACATATTTGCTGAATATTGTCTGTTTTCTGGCCTGTTTTTGTTTTTATTTCATTAATATTGTTTTTTGAATAGGATGACTTATTGAATATATCATTGACAGTGGACCATAGGTGTGTAGAGTCATGTGAATTATTATTCAATTGTTTTATATAGTATTTTTTTTTTGCTTTTCTCAAAAGTTCTATAAATTTGTTTTTATACTGATTATAATGATCTATATTTTCTTTCGTGGGTAAATATTTCATGATTTTATACAGTCTTTCTTTTTCGTTTGCAGATTTTATTAGTCCTTTGGTCATCCAATCATTTCTGCTTTTATCCTTGTGACTTATTTTAACCTTATTAGTACTAACTTCAATTACTTTTTGAATTTTGTGTATTAATAAATTTGTAGCTTCGTCTAAAGAATTTGTTAAAAAAATTTCGTCCCACGATTCCGTTTGTGCGTTAAATATTAATTTTGAGTTGTCAGTGAAATATTTGTATTCAAGGTTTCTTTCATTTTTTGCCCTTGGGCAGTTCTGGTTTTTATTTTGTGAAGATATCAATAATACAGTGGAATAATGATCTGTAATATCGGTTTCATAGATAATAGGCATGTAAGAAAAAATATTGGAAATATCCTTTATAAAGCAGTGATCAATGCAGGTTTTACTGGTGGGTCGTGTTACTTTATTTATGTATGATAAAAAAAACATTACTTGATAAAATGTTTAATAGTATAAATAGATATCACTAAAGGCATTTAGTAGAAAACAAATATAGTCTGCCATCAAGCGTCAAGAAGTTTGAAAATCCTTGACCTCAAGTCAAGTAGAACAATGAAAAAATCAAGTCGAGTCAAGCATTAACGCGTTTCTAGTAATTTTATTTTCAAGACGTTTATAAAAATACCAAGCTACTTGACTTGATGACTCCCTATTCTGTATGTAGCAAAAAAAATAACATGGATACACAATTTCTAATTTGTTTGTTCTACCTGTAAGCAGTCGCAATTCTCCGCCTCCTTCCTGACGACGTCCAGCACAGCATCGACTAGTTCGGCGCCCTCTGTGTAGTGCCCTTTGGCCCAGTTGTTTCCGGCACCAGATTGTCCGAATACGAAATTGTCTGGTCGGAAAAGTTTGCCGTACTGTCCTGAACGTACCGCATCCATGGTACCTGGTTCCAGATCCACTAGGATGGCTCTGGGGACGTATTTTCCACCTTGGCTGGATGAGGCCACTGGAAATATCAGATTCAGGGTAATTCGGAAAATAATAATGACATTTCGTAGAGAGGAAGTACCAAATGTTTCAGCAACGATTGAACCTAGAGCCGTCCGTTAAAAAATTTCATGGCAGCAGTGGCCAAGGGAAATCGCTGGAAATTATTTTCATTTTTCTAAAATTTCAAGAATTCAAACGCCATTATTTTGCAAAAATGCGTAATTAACGTATTATGTTAACTGTAGCATTTTCGAACTTATTTCTCAATACAGCAGACGCTCGATAATGTAAACTAATTTAATCCAAGTGTGGTTCACATTATCGAAATGTTTACATTAGCGAACGTGATTTATATAATATTTTATGTATTAAAAGAAACGTTTAATACATACTATTTATAACAAAATAAACAAATATTCTAACAGCGATAAGTATTTTTTTAATTAGAAGAAAAATAATTAACAATTTTTGTCTGCGTAAATTTGCGCTTAGCATTGTCTTCCAATGCCTGCGCCCGTAATTTACGTAGAACTAAAATATCCGTGTATGAAACTTCTTTTCTTTCAGCCCAATCTAAAGCTTGGTTAAAAACTTGTATAGCTTGCGCGACAGTCACTACACTTCTGACTTCAATGGGATCGTTCTCACCATCCTCACTGTCCATATCCTCCTCCTTATCAGCATCATTCGTCTGCGTATCTTCGTTCCATAAATTAATATCAGCAGGAGTACAAACAATGTTGGGATTCACTGTTTTCAATAAATCAACAACATCCAATGTGACACTCTAATAACATTATCATTATTGGATCGCAAACGTTCTCTAATTACGCTTAAGGGGACATCGTCTTCTTCATCATCTTCATTATTGGTACAAAAGAGATTGTTCCAACATTTTTTAATAGTTTGCTGGTTAAGTTCATTCCAGGTCATATGTAAATCTAAAACAGCTTCTCGTAATGTTACTTTTTTTAAAGCCTCAGATAAGTTTTCAGGATTCTTTGATAAGACAGACGAAAGTAGAAACTTCCTATAGTATAGTTTGGTGAGTCTTATTATATTCTGGTCCATCGGTTGAATTAACGGTGTTACGTTGGGCGGCATGTACATGACGAAAATTGACCCATCCCTGCTCCTCAGTTGTTGCTCGGGAGGATGACTTGGTGCATTATCCAATAGTAACAACGCTTTTATTGGAAGCTTCTGTTGTTTTAGGAAACCTTTTACTTACAAATTGAAAACACATCTACAAATTATGAATAGAGCATTTGTGATAATTGATTGTCGTACCTGAGGGACAAAGCACCTGTGGAACCATTTCAGGAATATACTGCTAGTCATCCAAGCGGTTTTTGAACAGTCATAATCAACAAGGATATTAACATTTTTAAATGAGCGCGGATTTTTTGCTTTCCCAATTACCAGTGGCTTTATTTTGTGTGAACCATTAGCATTAGTGCAGGCTAAAAACGTTATTCGTTGTTTCTCCGGCTTTCTTCCCGGAGCAGATTTTTCAAATGATGCAGCATAGGTTTTCTCTGGTAACATTTTCCAATTTTCATCTGCGTTGTAAATTTGTTCCATTCTTAAATCTAGCTCGGTAATTGTTTTCATCAATTTTTCTTTGAATGATTGCACTAATTGTGGTTGTGCTGATAATTTTTCACCAGATATAGACAGCAGTCGAATTCCATATCTTGTTTTGAATCGTTGTAGCCAGCCATCACTAGCTACGAAATTTTCAGTTTCTTTCAGTTTTTCATTCAACAGTCTCGCTCTCTGTTTAAGTACTTCGCCACTAACTGGGACATGATTTTCCCGTTGTTTTAAAAACCACTTATACAGGGAATTTTCCATTTTAGGTGCCTTCGCATTTTTTAAAGTTTTTCTTTTTCCCGGAGCTCCAAATGTATTGCACGTTCTTTGTAAAATTTGAGTTTTCATACGCTTAATTTTACAGACTGTTGCTTTCGATACTCCATATTTTTTTGCTAACTGTGTCACTCCCGCACCTAGTGCAACTTCGTCTATGATTTTCACTTTCTCGCTCAACTTTAAACACTTTCTTTTATAGGATGTGGATGCCATAGTCGTAAAATATATTAACGCGTGCAATGTATTCACTTAAGTTCAAAAATGAGATACATACGTATCCTAAACGATCATACGACTGACCGAGTTTGTCGTATTTTATCGCAGAGGTGAATCCCCTACACTCTACATCATAAATCGGGGACTCCCCGACGCCCGACATAAATCATCGAGGCTTCAGCATTTTACCGTCGCGCTGTTTCCGTGCGCCGAGAGTAGTTTACGTTATCGAGCGTACACATTGTTTACGTTATCGCGCGTTCCGTTTGATCCCATAGAATGAAGTTTGTGTTTACATTAGCGCAAGTTTTCATTATCCCGTGTTTACGTTATCGAGCGTCTGCTGAATCGTTTTTCAGTGGCGAAGCGTCCATGTAACCATTGTTACCATTGGTAACAGTTAACGATCTTGAAAATAAATATTTTATGACTAAGCACTGTGAAATAAGTTCATTTATTTGTTTACCAACAGCAATATGTAATAGTAATTCAGTACATAGCAAATTAGCCGCACGAAAATAATGTGCCCTATAGTGTCTAGGTTTTGCGAACGCGATGAAGCTGACTCGCCTCGACTCGGTTGTCGGTTGTTACCATTTTCATTTATGGATACACTTGGTAGTCCGTCGGGGACCGTCGGTACCGGTTCGTGTCTGATCGCGGTCGCCCGAGTGCGTGGGGTGCTGCGACTATTCACTTCTCACTCGTTAGTAGCCGTTTTGGTTACCAGACGCTCAGTCCAGGAATGTTTACCTTAATTTAAAGATAGTTTAAATAAAATACCAAAAATAAGCATACACTTATATTTGTGGCGTTCAAAATAAACTGTTTTAATAAGATTTTTCATATCTGGTTTCAGTAACAGTTTGGGAAAAGTCACGCGTCGCCACTGTCATTTTTCCAAATTTTGTTTTCTCTATGATGGGGGCAGGGTTGGATGTTATTTCAAAAAAAGTAATATAAGTTCTGTTTGGCTGCTGTGATTTTCGCGATCTTGGTTTCATTACTTGCTCTTTTACCCAATCTTGTCAAATTATAGTTCACTTTAGAGCCACTGGATAGCGTTTCATGGATGAGTCACTGATTTATTGAATATTTTCGAAAATTTCGAATACAACGGTATACTTTTTTACTCTTCCTCGGAAAGAGCATACAAATCCTATAAAATGGCGAAAACCACTGATCAATATCTTTATTCATTTTGGAAATACAGCAGACGCTCGATAACGTAAACACGGGATAATGAAAACTTGCGCTAATGTAAACACAAACTTCGTTCTATAGGATCAAACGGAACGCGCGGTAACGTAAACAATGTGTACGCTCGATAACGTAAACAACTCTCGGCGCACGGAAACAGCGCGACGGTAAAATGTTGAAGCCTCGATGATTTATGTCGGGCGTCGGGGTTTCCCCGATTTATGATGTAGAGAGTAGGGGATTCACCTCTGCGATAAAATACGACAAACTCGGTCAGTCGTATGATCGTTTAGGATACGTTTATACGTACGTATGTATTTCATTTTTGAACTTAAGTGAATACAATGCACGCGTTAATATATTTTACGACTATGTCATCCACATCCTATAAAAGAAAGTGTTTAAAGTTGAGTGAGAAAGTGAAAATCATAGACGAAGTTGCACTAGGTGCGGGAGTGACACAGTTAGCAAAAAAATATGGAGTATCGAAAGCAACAATCTGTAAAATTAAGCGTATGAAAACTCAAATTTTACAAAGAACGTGCAATACATTTGGAGGTCCGGGAAAAAGAATAACTTTAAAAAATGCGAAGGGACCTAAAATGGAAAATTCCCTGTATAAGTGGTTTTTAAAACAACGGGAAAATCATGTCCCAGTTAGTGGCGAAGTACTTAAACAGAGAGCGAGACTGTTAAATGAAAAACTGAAAGAAACTGAAAATTTCGTAGCTAGTGATGGCTGGCTACAACGATTCAAAACAAGATATGGAATTCAACTGCTGTCTATATCTGGTGAAAAACTATCAGCACAACCACAATTAGTGCAACCATTCAAAGAAAAATTGATGAAAACAATTACCGAGCTAGATTTAAGAATGGAACAAATTTACAACGCAGATGAAAGTGGCCTTTATTGGACAATGTTACCAGAGAAAACCTATGCTGCATCATTTGAAAAATCTGCCCCGGGAAGAAAGCCGGAGAAACAACGAATAACGTTTCTAGCCTGCACTAATGCTAATGGTTCACACAAAATAAAGCCACTGGTAATTTGGAAAGCAAAAAATCCGCGCTCATTTAAAAATGTTAATATCCCTGCTGATTATGACTGTTCAAAAACCGCTTGGATGACTAGCAGTATATCCCTGAAATGGTTCCACAGGTGCTTTGTCCCTCAGGTATGACAATCAATTATCACAAATGCTCTATTCATAATTTGAAGATGTGTTTTCAATTTGTAGGTAAAAGGTTTCGTAAAACAGCAGAAGCTTCCAATAAAAGCGTTGTTACTATTGGATAATACACCAAGTCATCCTCCCGAGCAACAACTGAGGAGCAGGGATGGGTCAATTTTCGTCATGTACATGCCGCCCAACGTAACACCGTTAATTCAACCGATGGACCAGAATATAATAAGACTCACCAAACTATACTATAGGAAGTTTCTACTTTCGTCTGTCTTATCAAAGAATCGTGAAAACTTATCTGAGGCTTTAAAAAAAGTAACATTACGAGAAGCTGTTTTAGATTTACATATGGCCTGGAATGAACTTAACCAGCAAACTATTAAAGATGTTGGAACAATCTCTTTTGTACCAATAATGAAGATGATGAAGAAGACGATGTCCCCTTAAGCGTAATTAGAGAACGTTTGCGATCCAATAATGATAATGTTATTAGTGTGTCATTGGATGTTGTTGATTTATTGAAAACAGTGAATCCCAA